TTGATGGCTCAAGTATTATTTTCAGGTGTGAATACTGTGATAACTGTTGGTCAATGTGATATGTAGTAATCACTGTTTTCCTGGTCAGTTCTATCATAAGCGGAATGGTTGTCCTATGGGAAAAACTTATGCCAGTGATAATTCTAAGTTAGTTTTTTTAATCAAATCAGTATTTATTGATTTAATGTGTGACCATGTTAAAGTTCCAATATAGAGTATTCCATACGACAGTATGAAAGTATTCACCATAACTATCTAAAAAAAAGGCAAGATTTTCAATTCATTTTGAAATGTTACAACTAACCTCTTTTCTTCTGAAGACTCAATATTCATTGGGTGTTTCAAGGAAGAAAAAACTACTGTTACACACAAGTGATGCCAAAGTTCTGTATGAATAATAAATTAGCCTATCAATTGGATGTTTCCAAAAAGGCAGTTGTTGAGGAGCATACATAAGACCTTCATATTATTGCCTGACTGCTTCACTCTTCCCAGAATGTACCTACATTATTTAAATACAGACAAAATGTGAGAAAACCACATTCTAAGGAAATATTTGCCCAATATTCTCTCTCTTCTTCAATTTCTGCCCCAATATACAATGCCACTACCAAATAAATAAATAAGCAAGCAAACAGATAAATAAATCCACTTATTTTCTAAATTATGCCAAAAATTAAACTATAGGTGCAGGTAAATTGATATATGAGCAGATCTCCTACTGAGGCACCACTTACAGCACACCCAAAGGGATGGCATGGGTTTTGGCAGGTAGCCCTACCTGCAGGCATATGTGGTATTAGAAAAGTAGACCATAGAGAAATGAAAGGCTACTGTGTGGCCTGTCTCAAGGGGACTAATACAGAACATGCCTGGATACAGAGTTAACGTACTAAACCAAAATTGCTATAGAAGAGTGAAAACTGTGAAAAAGTGTATATTCTTCGATTTCATAAGTCAGACCCAAGCTCATCAACTTAAAGGCAGGTCCTAAGATGTCAATTGCATTTAGTAGGTCTAGTATCAGGCTGGAACTTTATTTCCTGTGATGTATCCCTGTGATTTTTGATTTTACATCTGTAGCAATAACTTAACTTGCATTTGTTCCAAAATGAATTTCATGCTCAACTTGTTTTTCTTAATTAAACTTCCTTTAGCAACCCCTAATATGTGTATTATGAAAGCTCATTAGTCCCATTCATGCTTGCCTGTCATTTTTGGGGGTACACATTCATATACTGAAGTGCTCTGTCGCTATATATAGGAAGAAAATTAAATAATAAATATCGGGAATTGAATGTTTTATGAGTGTCAGGATGAGAAAGTGCCTTTAGGGCCCATAAGGTTTCACACAAAAGAGGCATTACTGCTAAAGCTAACATGCTGACACATCTCTCATCTATAAAGTCTGCAGTAAGGGCAGCAGTAAAGCATTTTGCCATTGACTAGAATTTCTCTTACATGCAATGGAAATAGACACAGAAGAGATTATATCGACTGTTATAAAAAGACTTCATATGAAATCCCCCAAAAGTTTAATGTCTAATAATTTCAAATGTCTGGAGTGAGTTACTAGTTTTCCCTGACTTCAGTTAAGCTTAGAGTTGGCAGTCTTTCTCTTTCAAACATGTTTGCTACCAAATAGGTGGGTTTTCTTTGGCGGGGGGGAGATATTGAAGGCAGAAATAATTCATATCCTTTTATAGCAATATTTGACATTGTCAATGTGATGCCATTAATAACAAAGCATAAATAATCAAACCTGTTACTATTAAGGAATTATTCTTAGGAACAGTTGAGAATGTAGCTATCCCACAAGATTAAGAGGTTAGCTACCTCAAAATGTTTTAAATTACCTTTTAAAAGGCATTTAAAAGGACACCCTAAATTCATCGTGAGTGTTCTATATGTTAATTTTTTTAAAGTTTCTGTGCTTTGCAAATTTGAAATATTAAATATTGAAACTTTTTAAGTTTTAAGGGTTTTATTTTTTTGCATTTCTTGATAAAGCAGAAGAGATGGAAGATTTGCACTTTGAGAAGCCATGTGTTAAACTTCAACAAATCATTAAAAAAGGATTGCCCTTTTCATTTTGCTTTCAATTAAGAGTGTGTAGCAATTTTCTTTAAAAAAAAAAATCAGGTAATGTAGAATAATATTTAACTGTATTTAAATGTCTCAAAATCATGGAACAAATCTGCAGCAAATGTATTCAGCACCCCCTGAATGTTAGGCCAGCTAGAATACATGGAAGGCTTTCAAGAGACAGGTGCAGCAAAGCTCCAGTGAATCAACATCAGTTTTTCCATGGTGATAAGCTTTGGGGAATCCAACGCTATTTCTTGTCACATACATTAGGAACTGCGCTTGCAACTTTCAGGGCTAATTGAGAGTTTCTATTTCTTTACCCCAAACTACCACATTTTGTGTTATTCAATAGCAAAAATGAAACAGCTGATCAAGGCTACCATGTTCTTTTTAATAATCATGACCAAAAAAAAATGTATTTGGATAAAGTAGAGCAAATGTAATTCATTTTCTAAATGAACTCTTCAGGCTTTTCAATAGTTCTTAGAGTCACATCCACTCTATTAACAGAGAACTTTTCTGCAACTGGGTAACTTGCTCTTCATTTACTGGCTACAGCTTTAAAATTTTTTTGTGGTGTATCATTTTGTTTATTTTTATTTCTATCATTATTAACCTTCCAAAGTGGATCTACCACCTACAAAGTTTACCAAAGTTTTATGTAGGAACTGCTTGTAGAAACCATAGAGTGGGCCAAAGTTTCCCCCTTTTCATTTTTACTGCCAAAAGAAAATGGAATGAGGGACTACTAAGTATTGATTATGCTTGACAAACGAAAATATTGTTCAGCCATTACAAAGGCACTTTAAGCTGACTCTTCTGGCTTTAGCGCTATGGCACATTCCATGACCACTGGGTCAGTGGTTGTGAAATATGCAAATTAAATTTTAAAATGACTTCCTTTTTCATATTTCATATTCTCCATCTACTTTTATAGTATCAACATTATATTCTCTACTAGTCTAAAAAGAGGAATCCCAGACCATCTCCCATTCACCTTCATTATTGATTTACTATTATCATTTAATATGTTACTTGCTACCTGTCTTTTTTAATTTAAACTTTGAAAAAGATTTTAATATTAGTGGACTATGTGGCCAGGATCGGTGGCTAGAATGTACCAAAATGCAGAATATCCATTCTTCTAGTTCTTGCTGCACATAAACCACGTGATTTAGAGCTGCGTTTTTTTTTTAAAAAAAAGGCAAACCCAACCTCTCAGATATCTTCTTAAAACTAACAGTTAGGCTTGTAGAAACTATTTCTTACTGTTTTTATCATCTCTAGAAAAACTTATGCAAAGTCTGCAGAAATAAGTAACTTTTCCACTGTAGAATCCTTGGGAGACAAGAGTTTCATATTTTCCTATTTAATCTTAAAAAAGGAATGGCATTGTTCTTGTTTCAGTGTTTAGATTTACGAAACACATATATACACACAAATCCAGGAAGAAAGTTTGGTGAGGCTCCTCTTTTAATACCTGAATGTCTGATGTATCTGGAATTCCTGAAATAGGTATTGGGATGATGAGTGCTTTAGATGATACTGAAGAGTTGCCTTTCAATGAGTTCACACTTAGTGAAGAGGTTTCAATGTTAAAACCATAAAGGACACATTTCATAATCTATAAGCAGAAACCCCTGAAAAAATATTTGATGCTTTTCTTTAAAAGATTAAAATCTAGAAAATACATTATTTTATAGTTTAACGATTATATATCTCCATTTTATTCTAATACAGCTGAATGTCTCAGGTTTAAAATTTAACAAATTGGCCTTAAATAGGAAAAGCCAACTAAAACTATGATGCTGAGGTATTAGAAGCTTATAAAGGGAGGGGAGTGCATTAACTTATTTAACATATCTATCTACATATTTTAAACGAACCACTTCTTTATATGTAATTGTTCTGAACCTATGTGGACTCCAAACTTGGTTCAGAATAATAAGCTTTTATGATTCCAAAGCAACTTATAGTTTCCTAAGTCAATTAATATTCACTTATTTGAGTGATTAATTTTATCTGCTGAAATTGATTTTCCTACTGTAAATAAATAAGAGCTTTTACTGAGAGCAATGAAATAACATTTTAAAAGAAAAAAAAAAAAAAAATCCCTGAATTCAGTTGCAAGAAAATGTCTGGGAACGCGCGCACCGCTCAGTTGGAAAGAAAAGCCAGTAACTGGCGAGGGAGCCAGGGTAGGGATCCATCAGAAATGCAGCCGGCTGCCTGGCGCACTTGCCAGCCTGGGCCCTCGGCAGAAAGGCTGCAACGCCTTCCTGGACTCGTCCAACTCGAAGAAAGTTATCTCGGACTGTATTATGCAAAGTCGAGCAAGTGAATTACAAAACAACATGTGTGGCCAGTCACCCACTTCTACTGTCTCTATCCGATGCAGTGACCCTGTAACCCTTTGGTGTTCCTGAGAGGAGGGAGAGGCGGGAAGGGGAAGGAAGAAAGAGCGAGGGAGAAAGAGACAATATGAAACGGCCAATTCCCCCTGCAAAATTCCCCCTGGAAGCCACGACAGCCACCAAAACCGCGGTCAAGGCAGCAGCGATTTCTACTTGGGTCTCCCCCTCTTCCACATGCAGGTTTTCCAAGGCATCGCTGCCGCCTCTCCTTAAAGTATCACTAGGAGAAAGCACTAGATCCAAGAGGGATCTCCCAACTGAGAGATTTTCAATGCAAAGTTGAGAGCTTGGAGGGTTGCTTGGCTTCCCCACCGACGCCACAAAATAAGGTTTTTAAGCTCGATCTAGGTAGCTCCCTAGCGATCCACCGGAGATGCGCGAGGTGGTCTACATCCCCCACTTCTCTTTCCATTTCACAGGCACCGTGTCCGCAGCACCTTCCGCGCGGCGGCACACAGACCCAGACAGCCCCCTCCCAATAAAAGACCCCACACTTACCCTCAGTAAGATAAATCCACAGAAGGAGCCCCCTCATCTTCCCCCAGTCCCCTTCCAATAATTCAAGGAGACAGTTTCTGTAACACTTCGCCGTCAAATTGAAGCTAAATTGCTCTAAGTATTTACCAGTTCCTAGACGCTTATTTTGGAATCTCGAGCACCCGGTTAATTCTTGTTTCAGAATTCAAGATGCTTCCTTTATTTTATTTTATTTTTTTCTTCTCTAAGCAGCCGCAACCCCAGTTTTGCGCCCCCTCTTCCTTTCTTTTTTCTTTTTTTTATTCACCCACGGACACTTCCAAAACGTGTCGATTGATCCTTTTTTCTCTACAGATGCAACCACGATCCAGAATCCTTGAGACTCAAAGCCACCTCCATGTAAATCCGACCATCAGGCGAAAAATACAAATGATCAAACAACGTTACTTCTTTCAGCTGCAATCAGATAATCCTACTAATCCAATAGATTTATCTCGATTGGAAATTGACCTCAAAAATGAATCCCTGGTGCTGATGTCCAGTAGAGCGATTTCGTAGCCCTGTTCAGATGACCAAAAGAACTGTGGATTCTTTCCTTTTTTCTTTTTAAAGTCTTTTTTGGATTCTGGGTGCACTGCTCGCAAAAAATGCCGAGGACCCTGGTTTTCCCCTAATATAGGTTTCTACTCCAAATCAGTGCAGGATGAAAAATGGTACAAAGATACCCCTAGTGGCTTGACGTGATATTGCAGGGAATCTCACTTTTTTTTTTTTTTTTTTAATCCCCTCTCCTCACCGTTTTTTTTCCCCTCCCCTCTCCCCCCTGTAGATAACTGGCTGCTATAGTAGTGAAACAAGAAGAAGGCTGAACAGAGATTAACATGAATAGTATGTGACTACTTGAAAAAATCCTCTGATCTTTCTTCTTTGTTTTACTTTAAAGACTGAATCTTCTGTGCTTCTGTCTCCGCAGTATTCCATCTTTTTTCTACAGAATCTTCCCCAATGGCTTATAGTAGCTAAAAGGCCAATTTGGGGCAGCTAGTGATTTCAAAGCAAATGTATCTGTTTCCTGAATAACTACAGATATCAAAAGAAGCCTCAATATTCCTGAGATATGCTGTTTTTAGAAAAACCCTTAACATTTTGTTTCCTTTAAAGGAATATTGTATGTATGTGTGTGTGTGTGTGTGTGTGTGTATGCATTTTTGGCAGGTTTTAGAGAAAAACAACCAATGCAATGAATTTCAGGATTGTTTGGTAAGCAATATTTCATAAACTTGAATGTGCCTACCAATAACCCAGGGATCTTTTAAAAATGAGGATTCTGATTCAGTAGGACCAGGGAAGGGATGAAATTCTGCATTTCTAGCAAGCCCTCTGACTACACTCTGATTTATCAAGAGCCTAGTAAACTCGGGAAGTTGAATTCACTTTCCTGCTGGTGGGTGCAGTAGCTGCAAGGACTCCAAGGTCTTCTTTCTTAACTGACTAAATAATTAAACGTTTTTAGTGTACGAGCTACTAAGGAGTCAAGAGATCTTCCTTCTACCACTGGTTTTGTTATTAATTGGCTATGTGACTTTGAGCAGTCACTTCTGACCCAGAGTTAATTTATCTATTAAAATTAAAGAGTAAACTCAAATAAACTAACAAGTATACTTGCTCCTGGATGGAAGACTTAATTGTAAATTAATCTATAAAACTGAAGTAATTATTATTGAAAGCCCACTGTAGTTTTTCATAGAACTTGAAAAGTTAATTCTAAAGTGTTTATACAAGAGGAAAGGGTCAAAACTTGTCAATACAATTTTGAAGAACAAGGTATGGGGAATTTCTATATTGACTATTAAGGCTTAATATATAATGACAGTTATTGAGGCAATGGAGCTTTGGTTCATAGCTAGAAGTTAGTCCAGGGGAACAAAATAGAGGGCTTAGAAATATATCCCCACATTTATGGAAACTTGATAAATACCAGGTGGCATTAGAGGGCAGTAAGGAAAGATGAATTATTCAGACAATAGATTAGGCATATGAAAAAAATGTATGTACATACAAAAAGTCAAAGCATAGACTGAGAGAATATATTTGCTATGCGATATCTCTGGTTATATAACCAAAGAAGGATTGGTATCCAAGTACATACAGATTTCTTATAAATTGATAAAGACAAAAATATTATAGAAAAGAAATGAGCCAACAAGATGAACAGTCAGTTGACAGAAGAGGATTCTCAATGTCCAATAAACATCTGAAAAAGGTATTCAATTTCCCTAGTTAGTAGAGAAATGCAAGTTAAAATGATGAAATATCATTTCACAACTATGAAATTGGCAAAATTTTATAAGTCCAGCAATACGAAATATTTATGAGGATGTGGAGAAACCGTGAAGAACAGGTAATAGTACAAATTTCAAGAGAAGTTAAGCAATAAAGATTCTTCCATCCCAAAATCCAGTCTCTCCACTTGTGCATTCTTCTCTAGGTCTCTACGCATGTATGGAAAATACTCATTGCAGAATTACTTGAAAGAGAAAAAATAAAAACATCTTTGAATATATTAGTGAACAAGGAATTTATAGAATATTCACATACTGCAATATTAGATGCAGTAAAAAGAAAAGTGAATGCACTATAGCTACTTGAGTTAGCATGACTGCACCTCAAAAATGCAATGTGGAGCAACAACAACAAAAGCAGAGTTGCAGAAAGATACTTGTGGGATGCTATATTTATACATCAAGTTTTAAAACATTATTATATCTAATTATATCTATTGTTTTTGAGCATATGTGTATGTAGCAAAATTACATAAACATGCATGATAATGATAAGCATGAAATTCAGGGCATAGGTTATCTCTGGGATGAACCAAAGTTAATGAAATTGGAAAGACATTGTGGGGAGCCTCAACCCAATGTTCAGCGCTTTCTTTCTCATACTGAATCTTGACCACACAGGTATTTATAATATCACATTGTAAAGTGTTTGTCTGAACCATTTTCTTAAAATGAAATATTTAAATTAGATGATTTCTATGAACGCTTGTAGTTTTAGAAAAATTTCTGTTTAGAATAAGTATATGTAGAAGTGAAAAAAATAATATGAGAGTTCAGAATTTCATAATGTACTGTCTGCATAGAAGTCTATATAGATTTTTTAAATCTATACAGATTTTTTTAAATTTGTAGTTCTTTATATTTCTAAGAACTGGAAATGCATAGATGCTTATTTATTTCCATAGGGGGTATAAAAATTTCCAGCTAGCAAGCAAAAATCACAACCTAAATGAGAAAAATATGGTTGAAATAGGGGGGAAAAGTAATGCTTAACTAGCTTTTTTTGGGGGGTGGTATTTTCCTTTGATCTTACATATAGCAACTGGGCCTCTGAAATTGTGAAACAGGCAATTAATTGATCATGTTCAGTTCTGACCAGTTAACTGGAAACCACCAAATTCAGAGTAGCCCCAAGCCAAACTACAACACAAAAGAAGATTCTTCCAGAACATTTAAAACACACATGTGAATTCAAATAAGGAGACTTTGTTGATGTGAAATATGAGAACTGGAAATCTCATTTCAAAGTTATTAGATAGTATTTTTCATAATTAATGCAAAATAGGAGAAGATACCAAATATTCGGGAAGAATTTTTTAGAGACCAATCTTAGAAGTAAAATGAGCTATATTAGCAATTAATATTCTCAACTCACAGTGAACTCACGAAAGATGTCTGGACAAATCGTCAAACAATAGATTGTCAACCATTCAGAACAGTGTTCCTGGGCAATAAGCAAAGAAGCTTTGTTATAAAGAAAGAGTAAGAGAACAATTTAATTTCCTTTGAGAACAGAGCAGACAAGGGGTCTACAAGAAGCAGATACAATCTTTCTGAAATTTGGAGAGGGTGACATAGTCTTTCAGTAACCACTTATTAAATACCTCTTGCATACTGGGCACGGTACAAAGCATATCACAGAAGACTTGACTTTAAAACAAACAACCACCACAAACCCTACTGATGATTGATTTGTTGATTGTAAATGGTTACCAGTTATTCTGAATTAATACTTCACCATGCATACTGAAGAGATATAGATATTAATATAAAAATGAAGGTTCATTTTTAGTGTGTTTATGTGCAAACTTGTTTGACAGGTTGAAAGAATCACTGAAGGGGGAAAAGTAAAAGAAGAAGTAGGAGGATGAGAATAAAATATGAATAAAATTCACTTCTTTCCCTGATGATTTACTTTACAGAGATGATAGAAACTTACTTAATCTTTATATTCCTCATAGTGCAAATGATTAGTGAATGAATGACTTAATAGATCAAAGAGTGAAACTAGTCAGTACATGAAGAAAACAAATTTATTCTGTATGCTGGATGGGCTCACTAGTCTCTCTTCAGAGAATGAAATAGAGGAGGGAAGTAAAAAATTACTATGAGTAACAATAATGGGAAATGAAGGGCCAAGAAGGGCAAACTTGACTGCCAATTGGAATATGGGATTCTAATTTGATTACGTCACTAAAATTTCAGCTGAAAAAACACACAGTAGGTAGGATTACACATCCTATTTCAATTTCTTTACTGTAGACAAATTAAAAAATGATTAATACCAAATGGATCATATAAAGAAATGGCATGGTTCTATGAAAAACTAGATGAGAAAGTATTTAATTGTTGCTTTTCATACAAGAGTCATTATGAAAAGAGAACTGTAATTTTTTTTTGGATAATTGATATAAAAGCGCACTTTTATGACCAGGTCAAATCAATCAAGTTCTGCCTGGTAGTAAACAATTTAGGATGTTATGAAAGATTGGTCTATGTCTGAAAAAAAAATACCTTATAAAATATTGTAAAACATATTTCAAAAGCAAGTCTTTGGAAAAAATACTCCTCTACCATGTTCAGAACTCCCCTGATGTAACCCCATTTTAAGTGCTCAAGTCTTGAATCTAAACGAATGGCAATGGGGGATTATGAAAGGCATAAAAATAAAAAGTGTTGCAACATTACAAGGTCTAACTACTGCAAAGGTGGCTGTTTACGAAGAGGTTCTTTCTACAGAGAAGAATCTGCTCACATAAGCCTGCTTAATTAGAAAAGACTACTTAAAACACTTGACTGATACTGAATATTTCAGGTATGTATTGGGAGAACACACCTGCTTGAATGCTAAATTTAACAGATGCATCTTTATATTTCTTGGTCTGAAGACCTGTAATGGAAACCACAGAAGGAATGATCAACACTAGATATTTTAGGATGAAACTATGACATAGAGAAATGGGGCTTCTTCATCAAGGGTTGTATGAAATAATGAAACATATTTTCAAAGCTCAGGGACTTAGTCAGAAATACATCCAAAATTTCAAAACA